CATATATATTCACTGAACATACACATGTACATTCACTGAACATACCATGTACATTCCCAGAACATACCATGAACATTCAGTGGATTAACTCTGACAGACTCTTGGGACATACATGGAATGTTCGTACTATGAGCTCATGTATGTCCCAGGAATATGCTTGTACATCACATGAATGATCCAGGTATATTCTGGAAATATCATTTTGCTATGTGGAACCACCTTATTGGGATTAGGGAGGTTGCAAGGTGCACGCACCTGGTAACTAGATGGTCATCGAACTTCATTAAGGCCCTGATGGCGGTCGGTGCCGTATAGAACTGGCTCACTTTGTACTTGTCCACCACGGACCAGAACCGATCGTTTCCTGGATAGAAGGGCGTGCCCTCGAACTGAAACGGGAACAGACAGTGATTTGGGGAATTTTCCCGCACCGATTGAGGCCAAGGGTCTAGCGCGGCTGATTATGCGAGAATCTTATTACATTCAATTGGCTGCTAAAACTACGAACGTAGAGAGTGACTGAACAGAATTTCGTCATACGAAAACAGGCCATTGTTTGGTAATTTTTGCCCAAGTAACAAGCGCTGGGAATTATCTGAATTTCGACGCGGTTACATGGAAAGGCTCTAGACGTGCCCAGCAAGACCAATACTAAGAGTCCCACTGTTGCTTGTTCTTGCATACATAGTATTGATCTTAAGATTCAATATAGAATGGCCTTTCGCAAGAGCCATGTAGATCAGGACACTTTGGGTCTTAGTCGTGCTTTTTTGCAAGAACTCACTCATCAGTAGAAGGCTCCCAAGCTTACCAAAACCGATGTGGCCGCATTCGCTAAGGGCCCGTACACCACGTAGGAGTGTCCAGTGATCCAGCCAATGTCCGCAGTACACCAATAAACGTCGCTCGGCTTATAGTCGAACACAAACTTGAAAGTGGTGGCGGCATAAAGCAGGTAGCCGCCAGTGGTGTGCACCACCCCTTTGGGTTTTCCGGTCGATCCGCTGGTGTAGAGCATGAACAGCGGATCTTCCGCTTCCATCCACTCGGGGTAGCAGCTGGTGGACGCTTGGGGAACCACCTCCTGCCACCACACGTCCCGTCCTGCTGCCATGGGTGTCTGAAATTTGGATCCCCTATACTTAAGTAGCTGTAGGAGGAACCTTGCAGCTCTTAAGGACAGGCGACTTGCTCCTGAACTCACCCTGTTGCTGGGCTTCGGCTGGACAGCGCCCTTAGGTACAGTGACTCGCTCCAAATGCGACACGACAATGCACGTTTCGACATTGTGGCCCTCCTTGGAGCATTTGCTCATCGCATGATCGCAAATGCTCTTCAGCTGAAGCATTTTTTCGCCCCGCCAAACTCCGTCGGCGGTCACGATCACGCGCGCCTCACAATCGACAATGCGCTCGGCGAAAGAGTCTGAAGAGAATCCTGCGAACTGAGGCAGAGGGTGAGGTTGATGGTGGAGGAGGAGGGTGCTGGTGCGAAACGTACCACTAGTGAGTGGACGGCGCCGATTCGGGCGCAGGCCAGCAAAGTGACCACCGCCTCGAGAATCATGGGCATGTAGACGGCGACGCGGTCCCCCTTTTTTACGCCTCTCGATTTGAGAACGTTGGCGAAACGGCAAACCTCCTCCAGGAGGTTCTTGTAGGTCAGCCGGCTGTAGTCATCCGGGTGGTTTCCCTCCCTGAGGAATTTTTCTTTTTAAAAACGCCCCTCTAGAAACGATCTTGGCAACCAAACTGTATACATATTTTTTAATCGGGCCGTTTATCTCCACGTGAATCTGCTTAGAAGCAATCGCAAGACGTGATATTTGACATTGGAATCCCCTTTCGTTTTCATTCATTCAGACAAAGC